TTCTCATAAAGAACAAGAACATGGTCTTCTTTTTAATGAAATACCAATGGTTATATAGGCTAATTATGCATTCTTTATAGCGACTTGTTTCCCATATTCTTCATTCTTTCAAGCAGACATTTATTTCTATAAATAAATTTAGATTAATCTTTAGGGCTACTAAAGTTTTTTCAGTCAAGAGCAGTGAGTGATTTTCTGTCTTTCTTTTGTTGTTTGATTAACATCAATGACTCGGACAATAGCAACTAAATCAGGCTGCTATCCCTTTAAAACCAAATGCACGGATGCAATGGATGCAATATACTGATACACGTTTTCCCTACTGTTTATGTTCACTTAAGACGTAATCAACTGTGTTATCTTGAATACTGGTCAAAACGCACAATTCGACATCATTTTGTGTGCAATTCTCCATTCATGCGACGCGAAAGAGTACTTGCGCGCTGCGAGACGCGCTTTCTGTGTGTGTATGCTTCAGTGTCTGCGCTCAGAAAACTGGACCGAATTGAGTTCTCTCTTGCGTCGTCAGATTTATTTATGTGTCTGCTCTTCTCTTAATCGCCACATATTGACATTTTTGAACGTTTTATGCGACGTGCAGCAAGTGTATTTTAACTTATGTCCCGCCGGTTCATATGTACGCATTTAACCTCCTATGCAGCAGATTTGTTCTGAATTCATTTCTTCCCAAATCGTCCCTCCCTAACATTTTTGTCTCGTTTTTATTCGTTGACGAAAATTTTCGTCATAGTTTTTGTCATTCAAAAAGAGTTTTAGTTCGTTATCGTCTCGTCATGACAAACATTATGATGAAAATTATTCGTCAACGAAATTAACACTGATGCAAATAAATGCAGCAGGTTCAATTAGTTTAGTGAATTCTACCCTACGGTTTGTTGGATTCATCACTGTTAAATGGTTTAATATTTGTTTATGTGCTCTACCTGTTCTTTCTTCACTTTCTTTTTTGGCACTGGTTCCACACTCTTCTCCGACTCAGAACGGCTTCGCACAGACCGGCGCTGCTGCTTTCTCTCTGATATCCCACAGACACAGAGGACGTTTTCACAGATTAGATTTATACTGCAAAGACATCTGAATACCGTTGCAAAAGGGAGTTTAACTCCGGTGAATAACTCTGTGTTTGCACTTATATATACCTGTGGATTGCTCAGCGCTCTCCTGGTCACTCCAGGCTAAGGGAGACGCAGCTCGCTCTTCTTCACTGGAACACGTCTCTGCCTCTGCCTTATCACTGGAGCCCTTTGTGGGATAGATTGAGAAACATAAAAAAAAAAAAAACATACCAACAGCTGCTTGGCAGAAAAGGTGCAATTTCTTCTCAAGCAGCATGCATAAAGAGAGAGAGCAGAGCCCTATTTTTAGGTTAGCTAGCTGCAGTTGATCTTAGTAATTAACTTTAGGCAGTAAGCTATAATAGCTTAACATGTACATTAACCAAACTAAATACATTATAGAGGATAAATAAAATTTCAGAGAATTTTTGGTGACATTAATTTTACCTAACCTGCAAGTTATTATGCAGCATAGTTATCATCTAGTTAGCATACCCTGGTTTAAATGAGCCAGACAGGAAAGCTAGCTAATATTGGGAAATGTGAGTGCAAAATAAACATGTTTACAACAATACTAAATACACTCATATACAATTAGTACACTATTTACAGGATGCAAATAGCATTGTGTAATTTTAGTATTTTTGTACCATTGTAGTATTTATTAATATTTTCCATTTTTTGTGCTTGTCATTTTTATTAGTTTTTGTTTTGTTTTTAAATATTTCTATTCCTCTTTTTACTTCAGTTTTAGTTTGAGTAATTTTAGTAATTCAACTTCTAGCTTTCCCAAGTTTAAGTTTTTCCATCTAATATTTCTGTTATTTTTTCAGCTTTATTTTAACAAAAATTAAAGTTATCACTAACAACACATCATTCTGTATATGCAGTTATAAAAATGAGATATAAATTTAAGCAGCAGTAAATTTAAGCAAACTCCATTTGATCAATTTCATTAAGCATTTTACTTCATTGCATAGAGTGTCACTTGTGGGCAACTACATTTTTGATTGAGAAACTGTAGCTATTAAAACATTTTTTAAATGATCTTTCAGAGTTTCTTCACAAAACTGTCATGACAGTGATCGATGCTGCAATTACATTATTTACAATACACATATACACACTCCCTTAAGTTCACTAGCATTTTTTAATTTCTACCTCAGGTGACTGAACCTGATCGCTGGGCCTCTCCTCACTCTCCATCTTCTTAGGTAAGTCCAACTTTTGTTTTGGGAGCTGCCAGTCACATTTGATGATCTCCACGTTTAGTTTCTTCATAGTAATGGAGAGTGGGAGGAGCTTGCGGGCTGCGGCGGTCTTCCAGGGTGTCCTGACTGGAGGTGGGGAGGGTTCCTTGGGGTGGGGGTCAGGTTTTGCAGGGCTGTGGGGTTGCTCTTGGTGCATATCATCCTCTCCCTGATTGGGAGATGATGTTTCTGTACTACTATTGATGCTGCACTGCCTCCGTGGCTGCTGCCGACGAGGTATGTGCTCTTCTTTTGCTCCAGCACTGCCTTTAGAGCGTCTCTGCTTGCGTTCGGGGCGGTTTTTACTGGTCGCCCTAGGTGAGGTCACAGTGTCAGCAGCAGGAGCAGCAGCAGCAGCACTGGGTTCCTTGTCAATGTAGATGAAGGTGTAGTTCTCATTGCGTTCTTCTCGTGTCATCTGCAGAGCGGCTTCTGCGTGACCCACACCCACTTCCCATTGGGCACGCTCCTTCTGGGACTGAGGCTTCAGCAACTTTAAAATAAATAAACCAGAGAACAAGTAATCAGAAATGTCCACAGAAAGATGGTCACCACATTTGAAGGGGTACAGCAGGATACCTTTTGTTTCTCAGTTGGGTTGGTTGCTTTCCGGAGTGTTTCTGCTTGCAACTCCTCGAACTGGCTCTCACCCTTGTACACCACAATTCTCTTCTCATGGATCCAAGCCCTCTCAGGGACACTCCCGAAGAACTGCACGTGGTATTCCTTGACACCTACCAGGAACCATGGAAGCAAGTTATTAGAAACATAAATTTGTAGCAAGAGAGTAGAAATACCAGCTAAAAGCTGGAATACAAAACACAAATTTCCCCAAATTGCAACATGGATGAGATTAGATATTGAGAAAATCAGAGCCATTCTGCAGATTTTAGGCAATCGAAGTTGATGATGCACATCAGACTCCTGATTCTAAAAGTTCTAAGAGTTTTATATTTTGAACTGATTTTAAAACACGTTTTGATTTGCGCACCAGAATGGTTTTCTGCATGAATTTGTTGTGATTGGAACAATTAGAAAGTCTGGTACTTTCTAATCCTCAGCCATTTAGTGTATGATTCCCAGTTTTTCCTCTGTAAGGCCACGTGTCCACCAAAGCGTTTTTAGCGAGCAGAAAACGGCAGGCGCTCTGCTAAAAACGCACAGCTGTGAGCGCTTGAGAGCGCAGCATTTTTTTTCGTTGAGACGCTGTCGTTGCTATGATACGGAATATCCACTGAAGTATATTGCAGATTAGTCCCGCCCCTCCTCCACTGTGATTGGTTAGCTGACTGAAAAGTGACCGTGATGAGCGCATTGTTTTACCCAAGGTTGAACATTCTTCAACTTTCGGCGCCGAGAAAAAAACGCCCGAACGCTCAGCGCAAAAAAGATGCTCAAGCGCTTGGCACGCTCCTGGCATTTAAAAAAAAAACGCAGTGCTCCCATTTAGAACTGAAAAAATACACCAGCCTCGTGAAATAATGCTTTGGTGGACACGCGGCCTTCGAAGCCAACAAGTGTGTAACACCTAGCGTTTTAAAATCTGCTCTGATTTTAAATATCGTCTAGAGTATTCCAGCCATAAAAATACACACTTGTAGTAGATGAATTACCTCTTTTATTAAGTCGTATATGAACATTTGACTGAGGGTCTGATGACACCATGCACGGCCACCAAGGATACGTCCCAACCTTTGCCCACACCAAGTCACCGATCTCATACTCTTGACAAGAGCCGGTGCTAGTGATGACCGAAGGAAAGTGCTTTTCAACCTAAACAAGAACACAAGATGGTCTTGGATGAACTGGAACTGATCAGATCTCATCAACCAGAAATTCTCAACACTTTTCCACATCTTCTGAAGTGAAAAGGGCTACAAACATATGAAGAATATTAAACTCACTTTCTGTTCCTTCAGTTCTGCTTTGGGGCTTTTGAGGGTCACAGAAGGTTGCTCTTCTCTGAATGTGACATGACCTTCGTTGGGCCGTGAGGAGTTTTGAACCACCCCTGACCGCTCCTCTACTTTGCAAGGCTGCTGACTCTCTTCTTCTTGACAAGCACCATGTCTGCTGCTTCTCTTTTTCCTCTTTTCCTTCTTTTGCTCATGTCTTCTTCTGGAAGCCTCGCCGGCCTGAAACTCTTGCAGCAGATCCCCGCACAGTGAGGACTCGAACAGCTCCCTGCCATTCTGGTAGGACTTAATGATCTTTATTTTGATCTCTGGGGAGCTGGTCTTTTTGGGAGTGTTGGTGGATTGTGCAGTGGGGTTGGAGACAGTGCTTTGTTGAGGTGAAAGGAGGGGTGGTGAAGAGGGCAAGAGCAATGGAGGAGGGGGTGGCAAGACTTGAGGCATTAGGTGAGAAGCAGGAGGCGGATGATGGTGGTGAGGTAACAGTGGTGGGTTTTGTGGATGGTGTTGCTGCTGCTGCTGCTGATGGTGGTGATGGTGAGGAGGATGATGAGGCTGGTGGTGATGATGGGGATGAGGTGGAGGTGAGATGTGGCTTGGAGGCTTCTCCTGGACCACTGGTGGTCTCAATAAAGTGCCTTCACCAAGCAGCAAACCGTGATCCCCATAGTTTCGTATGGCGCCGTAGCCATTAGCTGAGCCATTGGGGAACTGAGAGTACAAGGCAAACTTGGCCTGTTGCTCATAGGTACCTACGCCTGTCGGGTAGCCGTTTGTAATGACTGGGAGGTCTTCAGCAGGGTAAGGAAAGCCTGACTCCAAAGGAGACTCAAAGTTTTGCTGTCCTCCATCATCTCCTGGGTCACTGATGGCTTCATAGGCATCCTCCTGTCTGATGTTAGCGGAGTCAATAAGCTGAGGGGGTTGCTGAATTGTGTTTCCCATGATCCCTTGCATGAAAGAGAAGGAGAAATCCATTGTTCTGCTCCAGCATCCTTAAGTTTCCCTTTTTCTTACAGGGCCTGCTGAGATATTGAGGAAAAACAGATAGAATGTGTTTATGACACATAAAAAACGTCACCTCATTTTATCAAATTTGTGAAAAATTGCTCCGAGCAAAAATGTTTAATAGCTTTGTGTATAAAAACATGGGTCAAAAATGTGATTAACACTATGCACAAATAAGTTTGCAGTACTTCTGCAACACTGCAAATCTCCCTCCCAGGGGATAAATTAAGTTCACTCCACTCCAAGTTAAGACAACTTTCCCTAATTCTTGAGAAGAAACGTCATGCAACATTTAGGCTGAAATTACACAGCCTTGCTGGATAAGATATTTAGTCAGAATCAAGCATGTTAAATGCTATGTTCCTCATGAAACATCCCCTCTCCTTCTTATATGACAACGATGCCTGCTTTATCTCAGTTCCTATTTCATTTAATAATCTTTTGAATTTTGAGTTTCTCTCCCTTAAATTATAAGTATGGCTATGCCAGCTGGTCATTAAAAGAAATATTTGCCATCAAAGCAGTGTTTATTTTGTCTATTTTGCTTGTTTCGTCTGTCTAGTAAGAAAAGACGTAAAACAAGCCGTTAAAGACTTTCATTTAGCACATGAACCACATCACTCAATGCCACAGAACAACAAACTACCGTTTCTAAACCAACTAATCTAAAAAACTGTTTAATGTCAAAGAAACAAACCTGCAATGACCAGCAGCTGGCTAACATTAGCCTGCTAGCCTTTTCTGGATAACAAGACATACCCGATATAATCATATTATCATGTATAAACACATACAACTTAATAAAAATGCTATATAGCCCACGAATAAACTAAATTAAACTCTTGTGTAGTTCAAACAGATCCTGTTTTCGCAACAGCCTTGTAAAGCGGACCCGTGTAATGTCGCTGCATTATATGAAAGGCGGCGTTAGCGGATGTGCTAGTGTGTGTAACGTTACATGGGGAAAACACCAACGCACGCACTTCTAAGGTTTACCACCATGGAATTTTCCAAATACACATTTTGTTTCAAAATGGTATGTTTCTCGGTAGATTGGATCATGCGGAGAACCACAAAAACTGAAGAAGTGAATGCGAACATGCCAACATGGCTGCCCGTGCCCCTTTAAATCAAATCGGCCAGATTACATTCCCATCAGGATAAGGTGTGATGAAAACCAATGCTTTATTGTTATCAAAAACAGAAATACATGCAGCGCTCGTTTGGATTCAACGCGATATTATGAAACGAAGCATCGAAACAACGGTAGAATAAAAGCGTCTGTACCTTCAGCGTGTTCCATTCTAAACAAAAACACCAAACAAACTGGATTCCCGCTGCAGTTAACATAAATATATCAACACAAAGACCTATGACTCCACGGTTCTTAGATCTAATCCGGTGTATGGGGAAAAATGGGGCTAGATCAGTCGTATGTCGATCCCCATGATAGGATGTATGGCTGTAGAATCGGGAGGCCCCGTTTTTTTTTTTTTGCGGGATGCTCCTGCAGACCCAGGGAAATTTGGCTCCCATATATTTTATTATAGCCGTCTCCCTCCCTCTAGCTGTAACAAAAGCCCCTCTGCTTAAGGCCTGTGTCTCAGCGCCAAAATAAAATCTCCCCCATTGGCTGTGCTGCATGATGTGAGGGGCATGTTGGGACGAGTAGTTTTTTTTCCCCTTATAATTACAACAATATTATTGCTTGACATTAAAGCGTAAGATGTGATCAATGTATTACAGAGAATAATTCTATATACAATTCTATATTATTTTATCAATTATATATTAATTATTATATAATACACACACACACACACACACACACACAATAATAAACTATGTATGTATGTAACAAATAATTGTTAAATATAATAAAAATAATAATAAAAATATTGTTTTCGGAAAAATAGCCAAATTCTACTTCGACCACGTAATAATAACAACAATAAGCAATATGTATTTAACTTGATATCATAAAAACAATATCATTATTGTGTTTTCCAAAAATAGTCAAAAACTACTTCAACCACGAAATAAATAAAAACGTAAATAAATAAATGTGTGTATATATATATATAAAAGTAAAATGTTCGTAAAATTAAAAATAAAAACAATATTTTATATGGATAAAGCTAGATAAAACTAAAGATAGATGATATAGAAAGATAAAACATATTGTCTGTGGTTGTCAAAAAATAGTACTTACAACCCACATTAATACTCTCTTAACATGTGCTTTATTTTTTAAACGAGGCCTACAGAAATAATAATTACCAGTGTAACATTACAGCAATTGTTTAATTATTCTGGGCGTTTCATAAACATTATATTTGAGTAAAAATTAAAATAAGAACAAAACAATGTTATTAGGGTACTATGTTCCTTCCCTGTGGCTCTCAAGCGAAGTTAAACTGAATAATAGCGCCATCGTCTGCACAAGTACCTAATAACAACCATATAACACGCCTTGCTACTCCACCACTGTTCTGGGCACTGTAATTTTGACTGTTGCCATGACAATTCTGAGTTACAACTGAACTGAAATCAGCAGGTGTGGAAGCTCATCTGCCCTCATCATCACGGATGAGGTCATGGGAAGTTCCACTGTCCGCCCCGTCCAGCGGATTGGCCAGCGTCACTAGTGCGTACAGCTCGCTCATTGGCTTATGTGGCTGTCAATCACGCCTCACCCCTCATCGGATGATCCTCCTCAGTAGGACGGTCTGGAGCACCGGAGGCAACCTGACAGTCCGTTTCAAATCCGATCACAACAATACATCACCACGGATGTATTAATTTATATGTCCATTTAGATTTAAACTTAAGGAGCGACATACCATCGTGAATGGAGTATCTCATCCCGCAAAAGATCCGTTTTTCCCCCGTACCATCGCCTCCGAGGAAATCTGACCCTCAGCTGCAGGAGGAGCGCTGTCGAGCCGGACATTTTTCTCCACCGCCATCCGATCTGACACCATATCCAATGAGTACAGCCTAACAGCCGTCACCCCACACGACACGGGCCTTTTCGACAGGTTGGTAACGTTAGATGTTTAATCGTGTTTCGAGTTGTTAAATGCTCGATATGTTTTTTTAGACCACCTCGATCCTTTGGCTTTCATCTGTTGTTTCTTAACCGTTTAACTTAGCCACCGCTCGCGGTTAGTTGTACATTAACGAAAGTAAAACAAAAGAACTGTCCGATCGCCTTTCTCTAAAGTTGATCGATGTCGTGTCGACTAACGTAGAAAAGCCTCTGTAATAGATGTAAAGTTGTGCTGTTTTTGAGGTGGTGTATATCTGCGGCCTCTACCGTGGCCTTCTGCGCCTGTCATTAAAAACGTAACTGTTTTGACTTGCACCACTTTTATATAACAATTTAGACGTTTAAAAAGTTTAAACGTTCGATGAGTTATAATAGAAAGTGGATACTGTAGTTTGTTGACGTACGCATAAAATAAAGTAATAGTACTTTAATAATTACGGGGTCTGTGTCATAATGGCCAAGTAAATAAATATGATATAACGTTTAAACAATTTACCTGTTGTAATTGGAGGCAAACTTTCGGTTGAAATGAAACGTTCCTTGTGTTGTCGTTAAATATGGCCTATGACTTTGACAGGTCTCCGTGTTTGTGTTGTGTTTTAGCAACGCAAGCGGCGAAGATAAGCACGCGAGTCAGTATCTGTGTGCAGTGCTCACGACCGGCCTCATCCTGACGCGCGTGCTTTCCTACACAGGATGTTATTATTGTTGCAGTATTCATCAATACATCTACTTGTAGTCATACGTACATAATAACAGATATAAGTTACAACAACAAATATGCAGAAAAAATAGCAGGACTTATTCCTCACAAATACTTGTGTATCTGTATCTGTTTGTGAATCTGTGTACATTATTTATTCATGAATATTGGGACGGTGATAAAGAGGATTATTCCTCAAAAATCCTCCATTTAATCAGATTTTATAAGTCTCTAATATGTGTAAATCTAATTGCATCACAGTTACATTACATTGCATCTATTTCTCTTTACAGGACACCTGATTTTAACAAAATGGCGGTTTTTAGCGCACAGGTGCTTCTAGCTGTAACAAGATCAAGGTGAGGTCATCATCCAAGTCACTGGTGCAAAAATTAACATTTTTTGTCCTGTTCCAAGTGTACTATTATTTTAAAATATTATTTCATAATAATATTTTGTAGTGTTCCCCAATTGCAATGCTTCATGGAGGTTTTAAAAACAGAAATGGGAAGCTTGCATTTTTGTTAAAGCAATGTTAAATTCTTGCATTCTAAATTTATGGGAGCTGTTGGCTAAATAAGTTGGCTAAATTGTGCTTTTAGTGATGGGCATACTTTTCTAGGCTAATTAATTTAATGTAATTCCTGATGTAAATAGTTGCTTTCATATTGTTTTGCACATTATTAAAAAGTCACTGGGTTTACAGGCTTTACATGATCAGGATAGAGCACAGAAGCGCAGAAACTTGAACAAGCCTAAATATTTTATCTTGTGCTTTAACATTGCAAATACTCTCTTTATCAAAGCTCAAAGTTCTGGGTTTCTTCCAGGGGATCCTACTTGCTTTCTAAAAGACAAGGTTGTGCTTCACTCCCATCGACCGCATGCATACGCTACCATTCGGAGTTCCTCAGCCGGGTTGCAGTCACAGCCAGGTGTCCCAGGCCGCTGTACCCCTGTTACACATCCAGCTTCATCCGCCCTGGCTGCATAGCTGCACGTCCCCTCCACAGTTCATGTGCTTGGCTTCAAGAGGTGAAGGACACCCCTGAACCTGTCAAGGGTGAGCCTGTCCTTGCCGCCTCTGGCACTCAACCACCTCCAGCACCACCAGCAGTGCCAAGAAAGTCCCTGGGACAGAGAGTCCTGGATGAGCTCAAGCATTACTATCATGGCTTCCGTCTTCTGGGCATCGACACCAAAATCGCGGGCAGGATGGTCTGGAGGTTACTGCACGGGCAGCAGCTCACCAGGAGGGAGAGGAGGAGGGTATGTTTGGGTCGAGAAAGATTTGGAAATCTATTTGAGATGTTTTTGACGAGGAGCTTTGTGTTACTTTGGGTTTACCGTGGTAGAGTGGTTGTATTGGATATTAGTTCCATGGTAGATTGATATGGAGAAATATCATTTATCAGATTTGTAATGTATTTACATGGTACTTCAGGTTAATTTAAATAATACCCGTGGTAGCTATACATCTGATTTGTTATTTCTTTGCATCTCCATGATATGTGAGCTCAAGTTATACATTCTCAAATAATATTCCAGTGTTTGATATTCTAGTTAATATTTAAAAATGTTTATTAACAAAATTAACCGGAAACAAAAATGTTAGTCAAAACATCATTTAAGTGGTATTATTGGAGCTTCAATTTCTAATATTTCAGAATGATTTAAATATATATTGCACTTTTACAATGAATTAAAATGCACAATTATTAAATCCACGTCTATTTTAAAATCAATAACTTATGTCTCTTACAATGCCATTTGAACTACTATAGTACATGTACAAAATAGTTATATTACAACCATAGTATTTCATCATGTTATTACCATGGTGTGATGTCCACACAAAAAAGACATGGTAATATTATGTTTTTCCTTTATCCTAAATTTTTTCCTAAAATTTCTATGGTGATGTTTCTTTATATACTGTGTAATGTAGTTATTTGTTTACAATATTCATTCACATAGTATTCCAAGTAGTACCAAGGTGCAATGTCCAAAATAATGGTAATACCACCATGGCACTTTTGTTATTTATAGTCTCAAAACACCTTTATATAAGATGCAAGTAGTTTGACAAAGGAAATTGTGTCATAAGTTATTAATATATGTACAGGATTTGAGTTTTATAAAAAGGTAATTATGTTTGATAATCCTGTTAGAACAAACCATTGCTTGGTCAAGGATTTATAATGTAATGTGACACAAATAGGATTGCATAACCAAAAAGCTTAACACCTCAGAGAAAGTACAGCTGGATTAGGCCAGAAATGCTATTCTCACGTACCCATATTGCGTTTGTGTTTGACTATGGATGAATAAGACCTGTCCCGTCGTCTCCACAGCTGATGCGGACATGTGCCGACTTGTTCCGGCTAGTGCCCTTCATGGTCTTTGTCATCGTTCCCTTCATGGAGTTTCTACTCCCCGTATTCCTCAAACTCTTTCCAGAAATGCTGCCTTCTACATTTGAGACCGAGTCCAAGAAGGTATTATAAGCTTACATTTTAAACAACAGCAAAAGTTCAGCCTAAATTACGAAACGCAAGCATAAGAAATCTGTGTAAAGGATTCGTAAAACTATTTCTCAATGAATCTGAGTAGTAATTTTCATGAAGTTGTAAAAGTTGGTCAAAATTTGTGAGTAATTACTAATGAAGCATCTGAATTTGTTTGTTTTAATCTGACAGGAGGAAAAACAGAGGAAGGGACTTGCTGCTAAACTAGAGCTGGCCAAGTTCTTACAGGAGACCATTGCTGAGATGGCCAGGAGGAACAAAGCAGCTGTTGGAGATGAGACTCAGAAGTTCTCGACTTACGTGCAACAGGTGAGTTCAATAATCAAATCCATTCTTCCATATCACGTATAGTTAAAATCACGTATAGTTCTGGTTGTGACTGACGCTTCTAACTTGTCTGCTATAGGTGAGGCACACCGGTGAACAGCCCAGCACTAAAGACATTGTGAAGTTCTCCAAGCTCTTTGAGGATGAGCTGACGCTGGAGCATCTGGAGCGGCCGCAGCTGGTGGCCTTGTGCAAACTGCTGGAGCTGCAGCCCATCGGCACCAATAACCTGCTGCGTTTCCAGCTGATGATGCAGCTGCGCACCATCAAGTCTGACGATGAGGTGAGACAAAACCAGACAACTGCCACTGACCCTCTAAAGTAGTTTTACAGCTGATTTTATGACTGGACACGTTGCTGTGACCTCTAGGTTTGTGGGTGACTGAACCATACGTCTGATATTAGGGGCCGATCACAAAGAATGCATTTTTGCGTTCGACAATGCTAGTTTTCTATTATTTTTCTATGTAAACATGCACTAAATAAACATATTTGACTTTTGCATCTTTTTTAAAACACAGCTCTTAAAGGGTTATTTCACCCAAAAATGAAAATTCTGTCATTAATTACTCACCCTCATGTCGTTCCAAACCCGTAAGACCTTTGTTAATATTCGGAACACAAATTAATTTAACATCAAAAATTGATATTTTTGATGGAATCTGAGAGCTCTCTGACCCTTCATAGACAGCAATGATATTACCACGATCAACGCACAGAAACAAAGCAAGGACATCTGTAAAATAGTCCATGTGACATCAGGGGTACAACCGTAATTTTACAAAGCAGCGAGAATACATTTTGTGCGCAAAGAAAACAAACAATAACATAATTTATTTAGCAATTCTTCTCCCTGATTTACCATCTTCTGACATTTTGGAGAGTACCCCAGAACGCAATCAACGTAATGAGCGTTGTTTACGTTCAGCATGCGTGCGGTTTCGCTGAACGTAATCAGCGTTGTTTAAGTTCAGTAGACAGCGTGCGCATGCTGAATGTAAACAACGCTCATTACTAGGGCTGCACGATAAATCGCATGTGATTGTCATGCGCATTTGATAATCCTGTTAGAACAAACCATTGCTTGGTCAAGGATTTATAATGTAATGTGACACAAATAGGATTGCATAACCAAAAAGCTTAACACCTCAGAGAAAGTACAGCTGGATTAGGCCAGAAATGCTATTCTCACGTACCCATATTGCGTTTGTGTTTGACTATGGATGAATAAGACCTGTCCCGTCGTCTCCACAGCTGATGCGGACATGTGCCGACTTGTTCCGGCTAGTGCCCTTCATGGTCTTTGTCATCGTTCCCTTCATGGAGTTTCTACTCCCCGTATTCCTCAAACTCTTTCCAGAAATGCTGCCTTCTACATTTGAGACCGAGTCCAAGAAGGTATTATAAGCTTACATTTTAAACAACAGCAAAAGTTCAGCCTAAATTACGAAACGCAAGCATAAGAAATCTGTGTAAAGGATTCGTAAAACTATTTCTCAATGAATCTGAGTAGTAATTTTCATGAAGTTGTAAAAGTTGGTCAAAATTTGTGAGTAATTACTAATGAAGCATCTGAATTTGTTTGTTTTAATCTGACAGGAGGAAAAACAGAGGAAGGGACTTGCTGCTAAACTAGAGCTGGCCAAGTTCTTACAGGAGACCATTGCTGAGATGGCCAGGAGGAACAAAGCAGCTGTTGGAGATGAGACTCAGAAGTTCTCGACTTACGTGCAACAGGTGAGTTCAATAATCAAATCCATTCTTCCATATCACGTATAGTTAAAATCACGTATAGTTCTGGTTGTGACTGACGCTTCTAACTTGTCTGCTATAGGTGAGGCACACCGGTGAACAGCCCAGCACTAAAGACATTGTGAAGTTCTCCAAGCTCTTTGAGGATGAGCTGACGCTGGAGCATCTGGAGCGGCCGCAGCTGGTGGCCTTGTGCAAACTGCTGGAGCTGCAGCCCATCGGCACCAATAACCTGCTGCGTTTCCAGCTGATGATGCAGCTGCGCACCATCAAGTCTGACGATGAGGTGAGACAAAACCAGACAACTGCCACTGACCCTCTAAAGTAGTTTTACAGCTGATTTTATGACTGGACACGTTGCTGTGACCTCTAGGTTTGTGGGTGACTGAACCATACGTCTGATATTAGGGGCCGATCACAAAGAATGCATTTTTGCGTTCGACAATGCTAGTTTTCTATTATTTTTCTATGTAAACATGCACTAAATAAACATATTTGACTTTTGCATCTTTTTTAAAACACAGCTCTTAAAGGGTTATTTCACCCAAAAATGAAAATTCTGTCATTAATTACTCACCCTCATGTCGTTCCAAACCCGTAAGACCTTTGTTAATATTCGGAACACAAATTAATTTAACATCAAAAATTGATATTTTTGATGGAATCTGAGAGCTCTCTGACCCTTCATAGACAGCAATGATATTACCACGATCAACGCACAGAAACAAAGCAAGGACATCTGTAAAATAGTCCATGTGACATCAGGGGTACAACCGTAATTTTACAAAGCAGCGAGAATACATTTTGTGCGCAAAGAAAACAAACAATAACATAATTTATTTAGCAATTCTTCTCCCTGATTTACCATCTTCTGACATTTTGGAGAGTACCCCAGAACGCAATCAACGTAATGAGCGTTGTTTACGTTCAGCATGCGTGCGGTTTCGCTGAACGTAATCAGCGTTGTTTAAGTTCAGTAGACAGCGTGCGCATGCTGAATGTAAACAACGCTCATTACTAGGGCTGCACGATAAATCGCATGTGATTGTCATGCGCATCTCGTCAGTAAAGCCGGTTCCGTGATTAGTAGTAAATCTCCATCACGTGCTTTTAGAGGCAGCGGCATTTACTACACAGAGCCGTAGTTCACTGACAAGCTACGCAATATCGCGTTCATTATCGCAGACGAATCGCATGCGATAATGAATGCGATATTGCGTAGCTTGTCAGTGAACTACGGCTCTGTGCAGTAAACGTCGGGTGCTTTTCTGCTCAGTTGCTGCTTTTTTTTTCAACTTTAGGCACTCAGAGTGCTCCTACAAAAATGCGAGGCGCAGCAGGTGGCTAAAACACGAGACGTTCGGGGCGCATAAACTGCACAACATGCTCACTGCCAATAGAAAACCATTTTAAAAAGGCGCCTCTCACTGCTAAAAACGCGTTCCATCTGATCAGGGCCTTAGACCTTGAAATAATATTCTGGGTTTAATATGTTAAGGAGATGATCTCAGATGTTAGATAATCATGATTTTCGGTTTTCGTGTCTCTCTGTAGATGATCGCCAAGGAGGGTGTGGCCGCAATGACTGTAGCTGAGCTCCAGGCCGCCTGCAGGACTCGCGGCATGAGATCTTTGGGTCTGACCACAGATCAGCTCCGACAGCAGCTGCAGCAGGTGTGTGTGCACAGGCCAGCCTGACTAGGTTGTAAAACTGCCTACTGGAGGATATTTATGACTGTTTCCCACCCAAAGACTGTAGACAAATTGAAAGTGTGTCACATACAACAGACTTTAAACAGTCCTCTTATATTTACCAGCTTGTGCCTACTGAGTATTGTTTTCCTTTTGTCACAGGGTGTTGTCACCGTAACGCTGCGTCTGTGGTGTTACAGATGTATTTCTGATTGTTTTGACATTACTGTACGTGTGACTGTATGCTTTGAGTCATTGATAAATTCTTAATTGTTTTTCGCATTCTTTCTCTCTCAGTGGCTGGACCTGCACTTGAAAGAGAACGTCCCACCGTCCTTGTTGCTGCTCTCTCGTGCAATGTACCTGACGGACCTCACTCCTAAAACTCCAGTCATCCCACCGGTGCCCAAACTGGAGGTGAAAATAAAATTCTATACTAGTTTGTCTAAATGTCTAAAAAATACTACAGTTTAAAATACAGTCCTCTAAATGTTACAAGTGAATTTGGCATCACAACATTATAATGTACAGTATGAAAAATGGATGTTCATTTTGAGATTTGCTAAAGATTACATTTAACAGTGTTAAATCATTAGTTTGTTTTAAAGATTAACTTTAAGTGAGCACAGATACTGTATATAGAATGATAGTAGCAAACTGAACTCCATTATACTCCAGTTACCAATGTATCATATCTCCACATCTATCCCTTCAGACTATCCAAAATATAACAAATATACCCAGCTTATCTGTTCCACATAACGTAAAATTGGTTTCAAAATACTCAGTATGCATTCTGTAAACATGCAAAGAGCATGCATACAGAATACATTTGTGAAACAGGTTGTAAATATTGATTTATTTACCTAATGGTCACGCAGACTTTATGAATTAAACCAAACTTTGTCAGCTCTGTTTACTTTCTGCTTAAAAACTTGCCCCTGTGCTTGGCAACAGATTACCTTTGAACAGTCGATGTCTAGATTGGGCAGAAATGCAGACTGGCACGTCACTGCCTCAGTGACCGCTGATATGTTATCACTGTTCTGTTAATGGTTGTTATGGTTTCATACGTAATGGTATTCTTTATGTCCGTGTCACAGAAAGCCACTCCTCCTCCTGTGGAGGCCGAAACCACAGCCAAAGGGAATCTGCTGTCCTCCTCAGTGGAGGTGCTGGTGGACTCTGCTCCGGTCATCAAAGACAGAAAGGTAGAAATGTTATTACTTCACCAATCAATCAATCAATCAATCAATCAAGCAATCAATCAATTTCTCAGTCTTCAAGGATTCTCCAGGATGTCAGCCATTGTATAACAAGTAACGGTTACAAATAGTTTAAATTCAGGATATTGTTAACACTTTGATTATGTATTTTAGTCTGAAGAATTGTTGGAGAAACCCAGAGGGTTGGACATGCCATCACCTGAAGCTCAGTTAATACATGTAAGTGTGCCAAACAAGATATTGTATTGGTCACTCAATGTGTGTATTTATTGAAAGATGAAGAGTCAACAATATGTGGTTTTGGAAGGATTACTTTGGCTATTGTGCAGTACGTTGTATTGCGTACTTTGACTGTTATGTTGTTGGCAATGGTTTTATTCAGAACCGTAAAAAAAAAAATATATATTTTAAATAGTAGTTTTCATAATATTTTTTTGATGTTTCATTTTATATTGCATTTTTTTAAAAATCATCTTTCATTTTTTAGCATTGATTTAGAATTTCTATTAAATATTAAAATATGAGATTTTGCATAGTAGTTGTAATATTTTAAGTGGTTTCATTTTATATTGTATTTTAATCTTTTATTTTAGCATGAATTCAGAATTTCTTTCAAATATTAAATTGAAAGATTTTATATAGTTTTATATTGTATTTTTAGCATGTATTTAGAAATTCTATCAAATATTATATTGAAAGATTTTATGCAATAGTTAATATTTTAGAAAATTTAATGCTATATGGTATGGTCTCCCATTTTATTTTTAGCATTAGCATGAATGTTATTAAATATATGAATAAATGTGTGTCAGTCCATATGTAAATGCCTGTTTATGCTCACTTGCTGATATTTAACTATAACTGTTGTATATTTTGTGTGTGTATGTCTTCTACATCGATGTATAATGAGACCACTAGTGTCTAGAAACTGCTGGATATTAACACACTCACCCCCACCTGTTCTGTCCCATCAGGCTAAAGAGGCAGAGTTGTCACAGAAGTCCAAGATGAGTGCCAATGGGATGTGAGAGGGGCTCCATGTTTCCTCAGTCACCTTATTCTGTTGGAGAAGAGGGTGGAGGTTCGAGTTTGGCCTCTTCCACTACTGCTGCTTCTGCTGAGGAAGCGTCTCTCTCACAGTCTAGGATTTCCGAGGCCTTGCCGTCTCTCACACGGACTTGATGGACTAGTCGCATCACATCCTCCATCGACATCTGGTCCTCAAAAAGGAGGAAAAGTGTTTTTAGAATTTAGACATCACTCCGGCTTGACATCCGACATGTTTACATCTCCCATCCCCTGAAGATTTGACAAATAATGTCAATTTGAAATGGAAAAAGAAACATCAACTCAGTCCAGCCAGGAAATGAATAAGGAACTCGCAAGACTCGCCAGTCTTTGCTAAACTTCATTTTGTAAATGTGTAAATAAATTGTACAATACCTGCATATTATATAAGTGCTACTGCTTTATACAGTCGGCTGTGACATATGTGTGGGCTAGAAGGTGAAAGAAGTCATATTTTAATATGAGGAATGCATATGCTTGCATTCTGGATTTAGGTTGGCAGATGAATTGTAAATGGCCAAGTATGTGGGTATTTTTTTATTTGAAAATTTCAAATTCCCTTTTCTAAGGGAATATTATGTTCACTCCCTCAGGAGATGTGATTAGCGGTGTAGCGATTACACCAGGCCTGCCTATGGCAGACTGCAGTTTGGCACAAATAAACTATGTGTTGAATTTGTTCATAATATGCTGTGTCCCCCGTTCAATCATGTGTTTAAATTTTTCCTTGGGGGAAAATCTAAATGACTATTGAAGTCATAAAGTTTACGTTTCACTTATGGTTAAAAAGACTGAAAATTCCCCCAAAGACAAAGGTTTGTTTTTGATTCACATACTGTTTGGATTGTTATTGTGTTTCATGTTGCACTAGATAAACCACTGGGAGGGAAAACAATATAGTATGGCAATACTGTAAAATGTTAATTTAAAAAGCATTGAATCCCTCATATATTTGCTTTGTTTATCCCATAACCTGCCTTTAACTCAACTGTAAACTTAATTGAATATGTTGCGTCTTTAAACTGCCGTCCCATTCTGTCCTGGTGCACTTTTTTTTTTAATGTTGATCAACTGTGTAAAATTGAAAAATGAGTTTGAAACTGCCTCTCATTGCATTAAACAGCATACCATCTTGTACCACTGTACAGTCAGAAAGTAAAGGTGCTCAATGTTCATACCTCTTTTAAATGTGTTACACATGCCAATTATTACCCCCATTTATTTAGTGTAATGTGAACAAATATACTGGTTTTTGTTTCCAAAATTGACAAAATTTAAAAGGTCAAATTCACTAATTTTGCAATTAATTGATTGTTCAGTTAAAAACAACATTTAATTAAAAAAAAAGCTTTAAAAATTGAATGAATTGATGTGAAATTTATTTTCTCATGAATCTAATCGTCTCAATATGTTGCAAGTTGAATATAAATAACTTTTAAGATGTGGTTGCTACTTGCAGCTTCCTGTCGTGCTCTGAGGTGCACATGAGGAGCGACGTGACAATCAAAAGCATCTTTGCTTTGGAGAGATTCAGACAGTTGTCTTTTGTGTTGTTTTTAGTTTGGGCAGGGGTTCTGATTGTTGAATGAGACATCAAGGACCACCGACTGACTGAAAAGGACTGGGATTTCTTAAGGAGTTGGGGTGAATTTAAAGGGAGGGAGCCATGGCCTCCCTCCTGATGCGAATCTTTCGGTTGGGTGTGGAGAAAAAGCGAGTTCGGCACTACGAAAACCTGAAGAGGGATGTGGATCCACACCAGACATGGGAGACTATGGGAGAACTGGGAGATGGAGCTTTTGGGAAGGTCTATAAGGTAAGGGGGTCAAATCAAGAGGTTCAGTTTTCTGTTAAATGCAAAATAGCAGAACATTCTTGTAATATATTTATCTCGGGTCATTTAATTCAAACTGTTTTTAAGGGTTTAAAGGAATTTAAGATTATAAATAAAAGCATTGAATGTTTAAAAAATAATAAAACTAGTCTGGGCCTTTAAAGTGGCATAGCCTGATCTAATCTCATGTCATTTCAAGGAAATCCCTCCCTCTTCAGACTGGCATGTCAACTAAAGTGACAAATACAGTTCTGCAAGTGACTGTATCTTGCTCAGTCTACCTCTTTCAACATTTCCTGCTCATGCTAAATTACAAGAATGATTAAAAGTTAATAGAATCAATACGGAATTAATCGCGATTTAAAAACGAGAACTGTTATCACACTGTTTGACCCCATTGATATTATTTTAGGAATAAATCTACGTTTAACT